CAACACATGGCGCATCGATTTTTCGATACACTCCTAATATCATCTGATCCAGATGTGTTAAAAAAAATATTTAAAAAAAAAACATTTGTTGTTACCATGATTAACCATCCCTGTTCCTCTCCAAGCTCCAAACCCTTTTCACATTCTTCTAATAATCAGTTCTCTTCTTTGAAATCATTTTTGAATTTGTTTTCTAACTCATAGCTGAAATACCCTCTACCCGCTCCATCCCCGCCACGTCTCTATTACGTAATTCTCTAACTGAATTCTACTCGTTGTCCTCAGTCATTTCGAATCGGCACATTCCAAGATTCACCGTGGTCCATACGAAATTTAACCGCAAAATATCATTGAAATTTCTATGTGCACATGTCATCTAATTTCCGCATGCTGTTCGTTTTTAATTAATTCATCCAAAAAACTATTCAAATTCGTAGAAATATATTCCACAGTATTTTTCTCGTCATATTTTTGATTAGTAGGTGACGCGTTAGGACCCGGGACCTCTTAGCGTAAGTGAGCTGTGGTAATGAACACTGGTAGCCCAACCATGTGACAATAATCGGAAAATAGATGAACGGGGTTGTACAGTAGGCTCTTACCAAATCTCACTAGATCCCGAATGTTCGAAGCCCTTAGCTGTTCCCGGAATGGAGTAGGTAATGCCTTGTTCGAGAACCAGGGAGAATGAATGCAACATCACCAGAACCAACACCAACACCGTCATCATCAGTACGACCATCAGAAACAAGAACTGCAAAAGTATGGCGGCAGAAATAGGGCAAAAATGGGTCAAATGTTTGATAAAACTTGTTAAATGTTAAATTCAATTGGCCTTTAAGTGCTTTTAGTAATTCAGTAAACTCTTATAGTACATGATGCATAGTAAAATACCGTCAAACCGAACATCATGATTAGAGAGAACTACTCCGATTTGCGGTTGGAAATCACTCAAACCACTTGGCCATTTCCGCAGTCAGCTCATCCGAACTGAATAAAATTAGCACACACAAACGGCAAGAACTGGAATTTTCCCCCAATACAAACGAATACCGCTGCAGAAGTTATTTAAGAACTTGGCATAATGTTGGTAATCTCTGAAGAGTGCTGAACATTACTACAGTACCGTGCAATACCGATTTGGTTAAACGTCGTTAAACGAAGATAATCGAATGGAAATTA